GAGACAACATAGTCGACCGTCATTGTCGTAAAATTGTCCCTTGAAACAAATTTTGTCAACTCCGCCACGATGCGCGAAATTCGGCGTCAATATGTATGCGAGCTCATATGTATATATGTATGTTTGTCGACAAAATCGTCATTTGGCTTTTTTCAATAGCACAATGTCCGCGCGAACTCGCCGTTATTTCGTTGGCTTGCCACCATGCACAGAGGCGTGTCAAGTGAGGGCTCATAATATATTAATATGTTGCTTAATTTGTATTGAAAAATACTAATGCCTTGTGACTTATTGACTTTAATTGATAGATACGTAAAAATATAAATACAAATAAATTCATACCTATAATCGTTTTTAAAATAAATCCGATTAATAAAAGTATATCTGAAATAGTTATGTGGCAGTGCGCCCCTGACCCTTTCTTGCTTGCGATCGTTGATATGCTTAGACTCCAATTAATATAATAAAAAAATTAAATAAAATTTCAGTTTTAGGATTCGAACGTATAGGCTCGTATTCGGATTGTGCTTAACCCCTTCCCGATTACGACATCAGCCACCGCAAAAGTGGAAACGCCGCCGCTCAGACACCGCTTTATTGTTATCCTTTGTTCAATAAGCAATTACTCACGCAACGCACATACATAAGTTGGAAAAATTGCCTATTAAATGTTCATTTATTATGAATTCTTTGGTTTTTACCGGTAATACAGATTTTTAATTCAGAAGGCTTTTCATAATTATAAATTTGTCATATCATAGAAATTGAAAACATAAATCTAAATAGGTATGCGCAACGATTTTTCATTTAGGAATTTTTCTTATATATAATATTTTTCTTTTTCGAAGTTATATTTTTCGATGTTCCCTCATCTGGAATTACAAATTAGTACTCNTTTCTGGCTTTGATTTTGTACACCTCTTGCTTGACATAACCCCATAAGAAAAGATCAAGCGGTCGCATATATTCTTATACATATATATATTGTGACGAACACGGATAACGATAAACTGCCAGAAGCAACTAGTTAGCGAATTAGTAGTTGCCAGAATGTTCTAGAAGCAATGTTTTGTTACAGATTTACTATATAGGGGCTGCCGGCTTGTGCAGCAAACACAGTTCTAATTAGAGTGCTGCCGTGTAAAGAGCAATTAAGCTAAAAGCAATAAGTTGTAAGTTCGAATAGCGAGCAATAAGTGTTAAGTTATTGGAATTGGAAATAAAGTTAAGTGTATAGCATTAAATTGGGACTTTAATTTAACAATCCAGTGATCGAGCTCAAGAGTAAGTTATAGTTAGAGGATCTATCGAGAAATCCGTTACAATTGGTGTCAGAAGTGGGATTGTCAAATAAATTCCCAAAGAGAGAATTGTTTGAAATGGCCAAGTTTAACGATCTGAACATTCCACAACTGAAAAAGGAGCTGCAAAAACGTGGCTTGGCAACAAATGGAGTAAAGTCCACATTACAGTCGCGGTTAAGAATAGTCATGGAAGCAAAGAACATTAATGTTGAGGAATATGTCTTTCAATCGGAATTAGAGGAAGAGACAACAAAGAAACAAGAGAAGTGACTCAATATTCAGTAGAGGTTATTTGTGCTGCGTTGGAATCATTCTTTGAGGATTTTTCAGCACAGTTGTCATCATCGAAAGAGCTGGACGTGCATATGCCAGCGCAGGTATCCTCACAGTTGGAAGTGGAGGAAGCGTGTGAACCGGGGTCTTCACAGTATGAAGAGCAAGAAGCTTGTATAACAGCACAAGTGTCCTCGCAGTCGGAAGAACTGAACGGGTGCATATCAGCGCAGGTGTCCTCACAGTCGGAAGAGGAGGAACTGCGTATGTCAGGGCAGCTGTTCTCACAGTTGGAAGAGCAGGAAGCAAGAAGAGAGTTGGAAGATTAGCATAAAATTGAACCTGAAACGGATGACTCTGTGCAAGAAGATCCAGAATATGAAGGTGCATTACATAAGGTAGAGTTGAACCAATGTACAACGATTGGAGAAATAACTACAGGAAGGCCAGTCACAAAATCATATTGGGCAGAACGGAGCAGTTTAAAGTTAGTGTATGGCAGCTTGCATCGAGTATGGAAAAGCGAAAATGGGCAAACCTTCCGAGTACTTATGGTTATTCTAAGGGTTGGAATTCCTGATGTTCTTAACGTGCAGTACAAATTTCCAAGAGGAGGGCACTTGAGAGACTTGAAATCCTTGGAGCATTTGAAGCAAAGGTTTTATTGGACTGGTTGTCAATCAGCTATAGAAAGGATTGCGAAATATGCTGAGAACATAGTAGCTAAAGGATCAAGGTCCAGGAGTCATGGGCAGATGGAACAGCACAATTCGCGTGCGCCAGTTGAGAAAATAGGCGTTTATGAAGATGGTCCATTCCCCACCAATAAATTAGGAAAAAGTCATGTTTTGGTAGTCAAGGACCATTTCAATGAATGGCCACAAGTATACACAATTCCTAACCAAGAGACTGAACCAGTGGCGGAGGCATTCATCAACAAGTGGGTAACGAGATTCGGTGTTCCAATGGAGTTACGTTCTGATCAAGGATGGAATCTCGAGTCAGCTTGAAGTCAAGGGATGTACCAGAAACTGAGTATCCGGAAAACGGATGGAATTAAATTTTAAGAGAAGGACGGCTAACGATGTCAGCACCAGCCTAGAAGACGAGATGGGGGACATAAAAGCTTTGTGTTTGGTACCGCAAATATGTCTGATCGGGACGATCCGTAGTTGCCAGAATGTTCTAGAAGCAATGTTTTGTTACAGATTTACTATATAAGGGCTGCCGGATTGTGCAGCAAACACAGTTCTAGTTAGAGTGGTGTCGTGATAAGAGCAATTAAGCTATAAGCAAGAAGTTGTAATCTCGAATAAGGAGCAATAAGTGTTAAGTTGTTGGAATTAGAAATAAAGATAAGTGTGTAGCCATTAAATTGGGACTTTTATTTAACAATCCAGTGATCGAACTCAAGAGTGAGTTACAGGTAGACGATTTATCGAGAAATCCGTTACAGTATTAATGTTTTGCTGTTAACTTAATTAAATTTACTTGTATGCACATGTTTGTTAATAAAAGTTTATCTGAAGATATCTGATGATAAAATGAAAATTAGGTATGTTAATGCGACACACTCTGGAGCCTGCTACGATTCATTAAATTAGGTCAGTAAAGGATTTCAATGGAGTGGGAATATATGCCAGGCAAAAGAAACGTTTCGCTGCTAGAAAAATTTTTAATTAAATCTTAAAATCACTAAATATATAAATTTTGTTCTTAGGCGACGCTAGGTATCCATTAGAGCCTTGGCTGCCCCCACCGATCGGCAGCAGAAGGTTCTTCAGAAAGCAAATGTAACGAAGTAATTCACCGTTTACGTTAACGCCACCAACCGATTGTATATCAATTGATTGTCATAAATAAAAACTTAAATTTACATATATATTTTTATATTATATATCACTTAGTCCATTTTTGTTGACTCAATAATTATAATACCCGGAAATCGATTATGACGTAAACAATATGATTTAAACAATAATAATGTGACAAGATTGCTGTATCAATTTTTAAGTAGGTAAACATTAAGAAACATTTAAAGAAAAAAGAGAACAAAATATTGTAACGAAAATCAAAGCATAGCTTAAGACGAATTATTGAATAAACAATCAGAATATTTTTCTCCGTTGAAGTGAACGGTCGAGTTTGATTTACTTCCTTTAACTTGCGCTTAATATTGTGGAAATGCAAATGGTGGTTTGAAAAATAGATGTACGTGTGTACTGGGAGCTAGAGAGATCCTAAAAGAGCCGCAAAACATTTTTGAACTAAATTTGGACCTTTGGTCTACATCTATTTTTCTATGGTTCAATCAATCTCTACATTGTGACGTTTTGTGTCTGTTAGTAAATTATATTGAGTTTTTCGGAAATTTTCAATGCTTTCATTTCCTTAATTCGCTTTCTATTTCTTTGTAGTGTTCACACCGTATTTGTAGACTCTTACTTAAGTTAAGAGATATTTCGTTTGTATTTCAATGATACATTCGCCGTCAAAGCTATTGTTAAAAAAAAAAAAGCTTTGACCCTCTGTATCTGGGCCTTCTCACATTCTTGATTCTTGTTTGTTTCACACTGGTTGCTGTCAATTGTGTTATTTGAGCTAGCTTGTAAACCAAACACCCTGCCACCTTCTACACCTTCTACACCTTCCACACTCTCCATTGTCGCTTTTAAATCCAAAATGGACTATTCCAGAACAGAAAACACGTACTCTTACACGGTCTTCCGCCGGTATTTTTTTAATTTTGCGCATTCGGGACAGCTATTTTCCAAACATATCTTTTCTGGTCTTTCCAAACCGGTTAAGAAATAAAACAGGTAGAACGGAAGAACAGTGGGACAATCCTTGGTTACCTTTTTCCATTCTGAAATTGATTTCAATCGTGGCCTATGCAATTAAGGGAATCATGCAACTTCTTCCAATATGCATTTACATTTTCTTTTTTTTCTCTTTCTGAAAGAAAGGGCTATATTAGGATTTTTGGACATGATGTTGACCAAAAACGTTGACTGTGCTTTATTAATAGACCTTATTTTATCAAAAAAAAAAGTTGCATAGATTAAGAAAATTGTTAATAACATATACTTACATTTTAATGAAAGTTGTTCCGTCTTAACGGCTTTGTGAAGGAATTTTATGATTTCACATGAAAAAAAATTTCATTTACGGTTTAGGAATATTTTCGAGTTTGAGAGATTTTTCCCACGTGAAGTTCACGATAAGAAAAACATAAATTTGGGAATTTTTACATGAGGAATGGCGTTCACACGAAGTTCACGAAAAGGCTGATTATAGACCCCATTACAAGTTATGTGGAAAATGTGACACCAAAAAAAGTTTAATATACCATATCCGATTTTCATAAGTTTAGTTGATTGTAGTTGATATTGTTAATATCACTATAGGAAATTTTCTATAGACTTGTATTAAAATACTTTCTTTATTGGATTTAAATGTTACAATACAGGTTTCAACTTTTAGCATGCATTACTATCATCATTACTTTTTTTCATTGGGCCTAATATATAATATACGTAAAAAAGCATATATATACATATACGTATATTTATATATATATAATAGCCCTTAGAAAACATATGATAGATTTTATTTGATGTAATCTTATATTAGATAATATGTTTGGTTTGTGAATGCCGATATGTTAATTGAACTTCATATACTAATGTAATATACCAAACAGCAGCTATACTACGTATAAATCGAATCTGTTTTCGAACATATTTTACATAAAATAAGACAATGTATTCTATACTCTGATGCAACATACTCGCACACAAACCAAAATGTATGTATAGTTGTCCGCCAAATACCAGGACCGCAGAAGCTTTCAAAAGGCGAAAAGTTACAGGGTTAAAGATAAACAGAATTAATATACAATATTTTTTTACATATTTTAGTTTTTCACGAAGATCTGAAAAAAAAAATTTCCTCAAACCCCATTTTTTAATTTAAAAAAAAAAACAGCTTCGATCAGATGATCTATTAATAAAACTATTGTATTTCTTGTGTCCTATTGATTATAGATAAATCTTTATGGATTAGTGATGCTCACCATAGGAGCTTCGTTATTTTATGGCTATTATATCGCTGACTAATCCATACTGTTTCACCGATACTATTACGATGGCCCTTAAACGTTTTACTAGGATTTCTTCCCACTTGTAAAACGTTTCTTAAGCTCTATAGTTCATTTTGTATAGAAAATGTCTACTACTCAATATTTCGACTATGAACTCGAACAGAACATCATTCAATTTTTATATATTTAGCAGTTTGTTAAATTTTCTTATACGCTTTTCCTTTGTTCTCCTAGATTCTTTATTTTTGTACTCGCATAGTTACCATATTTCAAATTAGCAAGTACTTGTTAAAAATGCTACCATAGAAAGGCTTTTACTACATTCAAATGTTTTGTGAATATATTGTTAAGGAATACTTTGAAAAGGAAACATTAAACACGAAAATTTTTATTGTAGTCTAAAATAATTTTTTTAAGCGAAATTCTAAAATGACTATCGTTACACAAAAAACTTGTTTATTATTTTTATGTAAATTCCTCTTAATGTGGTCCATTTTTATGCCATACCACTTACCAGTTTTTGAAAAATGTTACGCGGCCATATACATTTTTCATATGGGCGATCATATTAATTTTAGGACAACTGTTTTTTTCGAGCACCTTTTATAGGCGTATAACAGATTATTAAATTTGTATTCTATATTATAACTGCCATTTTCATGATTTTTTTTTAATATAATGCTTCAGCTTATTGAAGCCTACACATTATTTATATAAAAATAATTTTAATAGATGACCATATGATAAAACATTTGATAAAGCGGGCACCATTTCTTACAAACAAACAAAGAAAATACTGTCATTAACAGTTACTTTTCGTTTGCACATCTTACTTGGCAGAAAATAATTTAGTTACTATCATCTTATGATATATACATTAGGCTTTTTGTCGTTTTTTCGATCTGGTATTTTAGTACCTGAAACTACAATAAAGAAAAAACTCAAACTTTCTAACATAAAGTGCACGAAAAAACCGTAATAACCAAGCAACAGGTTGCGTGGTTCTGATCTGTTACGCAAGGTGTGCGCTAGGTTCGTAATTTATAATCTGAACTTTGATTGCTGCCTACATTAAAATGACATAACCAACAAAGAACTTATTGAATTGGGCTTTTGACTTTAGCAGAAGAAACTCTGCTTAAGTTATTTTCACATTATGCTTCAGGTTCTGATACAGATGCTTCTTGTTGCCCAAATATATTACTAATATTTTCATTTATGGTTGATATTTTTGAAGAGTTAGGTGCAGTTCCATTACCATTGTTGACAGATGCCAATATACTTGAGGACATGTGTTCTAACACTCCAACAGGCAACATATTGATTTTACTCATACAATCTTCAAGTAGCGCACCTTCGGGGTTCTGCATATTTACATCGATATCTAGCAACTGCGGCTTTTTTTGATGGCCGCCACTATGGTGGTGAGTTGTTGAGTTGATACCTTCATAGGCATTCGGAATTACATTTATTTCGGTTGTTCGATCAATTATATGCTGCATTAGAGAATCTTCTGGCTGTACAATATGCTTTTGTTGATGCTGTTTGAACATGGGTAACACGTTAACATCGTTTGCACTAATAATATGGGTTTCTGTAGTACCAGTTTTCCATCCCCCACTAAGAAATCTTACGTTGGTAAAATGAATGTAATTTTCAATTCACATTGAACATACCTATTATTCTTTACTTCCTGTACAAGACTTGTAACATTACTGCGTTGAATAATAGATCGAGAAGAACCTACGAAATTCAGATAAAAAAGTTAGTTATATGTATAAAGGGGTTAGCAATCTCTCAAAAAACTCTACCAATTAAGTTATATTTTTTTTATAAAATATTTTATATCCCCTCTTGCTGTACCTTTTGAATTATGATTTCTTGATTAACTCTTGTATTGAAAATATTAAATTTCTCATCGTAATGCCCTAAAGCTCGTTTTTACTCACCATCTTCTTCAATGTTCTTTTGAGCTTCATCTAATATTTCAACAATCTGTTCTTCAGCGATTCGCCGTATATTATCTATATCATAGTTCCTTTGTATCAATTGTGAAATATTATTGGGTGCTGGTGGGGTCGTCATAATTGATGCCCCTTTTTCCGACATACCTTCTGTAATTTTAGCTGGTACCGTTACATTATTCTCATTATTGTACTCATGAATTTCATTTTTCTTTAATATACAATCTTTTGTGATTTTTAGTCCACTGAACACCAATCCATCCAGTTCAGTTTTAGCCAAGTGTTTTTCAATGTCATCAGTCACAGGTTCCATATTAAATATACATTTGTCTACAATATCGCTTCTATTAATATTGTGCAAAGCGTGTTCTAAGCGGTTGCCTGTGGCTTTATGACCTTGTTGACGCACCCAAAGTCGCAGCATGATCATTGCCTTTTGATATGGACTCGCCGTGTATTCCGCATTAATAACCTCGTAGTCGGTCTCGGGTACATCCAATTCTTTGGCCAAGTGCATCCAGTCGCCATCTATAAAATTACATACATCCGATAAGCGTATATCGGCTCGATGTATTGTGTTGTCTCCTTTCGTATGTAGTTGCAGTATATTCACTTGGTTTAGTCCTTCTTCTCTAACATCTGCAGACTCGTCCAAGTCATTTGCAGATTTCAAAGCTGTTAACTTGAAACCTGCATTTAACAAATCCTTATAATTGAGACCACGATCAATTTTTATATTAGTTAAACATTTTTGGCTATTATCAAAACGACTGAAACTATCAACAATATCAGAACCTTCTAATGATATGTTTAATACACAAATTGGATTCTGTGGTGGTTCACGAATACCAACTTTCAGATTATTCATGAAGCTTATGCGGCCGTAAGGCTCTTCTTGATCTTTAATATGCACAATGAAAGACAGGCGATTTTCGCGGAAGGCCTGGAATTTTAAATTACCCTGCTCGCCTGATTTCAATACAGGTACTAAGTTGCCTGCAAACTCCAAATATAAATCTTGATCGCCAAGCACTTCTACATCTCTGCTTTTAGCTATTTCGGTAAAATATTCTTGCTGCTCCAAGGTTTTATCTTCTTTGTCGTCCGTCATACAAAACACAGAAATCTTTGCCTCATTTGCTAAAACTCGTTTAGCAAAAACCACAAATTTTACCATAAACGGGACCTGAGTCATGTAAGAATATAATTCGGTGGCCATACGGCTAGCGTCCGAGATATTACGACAATCCATTAACCAAAAACGTGCCGATACTGTCGTAGTAAACGTGACACTATCCTTTACGAAAGCGAAAGGAGTTGACCCAGTTACATCTTCCCAAACCGCGTGATTTTGGCCCCCTGTTATTGAACATAAAAGCCGCAAAGTTGGAGCATTGCCTGTATAAGGTGAATTTACCATGCCTTGGGAAGACGCTTTGGGAGCTGGTATACTGAGCGTAATAGCCTTGTGAAATTTGCGACGGCGCGGTTCAACGGTAACTACCGGCGACACAGCCACACCTTGGCCCAGAAGTTTGCAGCAACCGTTCAGGTCAACTGGCTGTGCCTGAAGACCGACACGAATCTTCTTTGTGAGAGCATTAGGCGGAAAAATTGCCTGTACTTGCGGCACCGCTTGTGAAGAGACGGTGCCACCGTCAGGGCCAATAGCATGAACCTCCTGCCGAATACGTGATATTACCGCAAAAAAGTGTGGAAAAGTGCGAGTTACAATGCGTACGATACGACTAGTGTGCAAATCCTCCATTGGGTTCAGTTCACAATTTGCCGTTTCCTGAAGAACATCCAACATTACATTATCACTGTCGAACAATGTATGCTCCCGCCAACTATCTCCGTTATCTGAACGCAAAATTATTATTTCGCGTTCCTTGTCTCTCAGTGAGCCAAAATGGGGTATCTCAAGAACCACTGGTCTGAAAATTAGGGAAGGGGAAATATTACAACCTATACATTTTGTCATTGAATAAACATACCTGAGAAATTTGCCCTCGACGGGAGATAATTCCATTATACGACTAACTAAGGCTTCGCCTTCCATTAAAGGTGGCGAATTATGTACCCTTTGTGGCTTTACATAACGGCAGGTGATACGTGTTGGCTGCGTACAAGCTTTTGGGGGCACAATCACGCGAACTCCACTGTGGCGGCAACCACGCATTGATCCACCACGTGCATCCACAAGGAACGATACAAGGAAACTGGAAATTATAAATATTTATATTAGTAAACACCTTACATATTCGTAAAACTGAAACACACTTACCCCAAATGAACAGGAGGCCGAGTAATCGCAACATTGTCATTCTGCTTCAAATAATATTGATTTGAAGATTTAAAATCATCGTCAACTAAACAAAAAATAATAATATTAAAAAATTAGTTCAGAACAGTGAAAAACTTTAAACTTCTCTATAATCATTTTGGGTGTTTGCGAAGGCATACGCTACAAATACGTCATCCCATTATTGGTCCATACGAAATAATACGTATAGATCCGAAAGCAAAATACCTTCTATCATCAAGCATACTCGCTGACCCACAACACCAAATTACAAATTACAAAGTGGTTCCACTGCCGAAGGCTGGAAAACCCAGCCAAAAAGTACACTCATATCGTTAGATATTCTCTCGTCGAAACGTTAAAAACACACGAATTGCTGGATGCTTAAACCAATACACATCCTAGAAAAGGACATCTCTAATACCATTAGTAGACATAGAAAATTCAGTACTCCCTCCACGAATAACATGTGGTAACCGCGTACTATTTCAGTGGTAGACACTTAATTTTAAAATAAATAAGTTTAATAGCACATATTTGAAGTAATTGTAAACAAAAGAGAAAGCGCTAACTTGGAATGCACTGAATCTATAATACCCTTCACATTAATTGCCTATAGAATCTATATGTGTTTTGATCTTATCTCAGAAATTATATACAAAAATAGCGTGACAAATTTTAGAAGGATCGATGCAATAATTTTGAAGCTATGAGATGCACCGACTTTGAAAACGTGGGTTGTGAGGCAAACGCTTTAATAAAGTTTTGATAACTGATGTTAAATGTTCATGAGACAGGTATACAAAATACCAATCCACTTGAAATTTATGCACAACATTCTTGCGATATTATGCATTAATTTAAGAATCGAATTACCCCTCTTATTATACCCTGTTCAACGTAAAAAATATAATATAAATAATTATAACGATGATGACGTCACGGTCGAAGTATTTATCTGTCGCATATATATTTTGGTATTGCAATCAGAAAATTTTTACTTGCATAGGTAAAGTTTACAGTTTTATAATTTAAACTTCCATTATGTAGTAATTATCACACCTCAAAAGATATTCACTAGGCGTACACTATAAACATACGACTATAGGTATGCACATAATCATGCATGTTACATTTATATACGAGTAGAGAATATTAAAAAGTTGGAGATATGTACCTCTATCGTTTTTAATGATGTTACGGTCAGTTGATTCTGTTTGAAGAACCTGTTGAATATGTTTCTGTTGCTGATGATCGTTGTGGTCGTCAATATTGGTTGTGTCATAGTTTTGATTATCCTGTTCGGACGCTTTTAAGTCATCTGTAGCCATGTATTTATATTGTTGATGGTCAATATTTTCGTCTCCACCTTCGTCTTCGGAATCTGACATGAAGGTTTCATGCATCAATTCTGGTACAACTACTTTATATTTCTCTTCAAGTATGCCAGTTATAGTATTCGTTACAGATTTTTCTGTTACCACTTTTAGGGTTTCAACAGCAGTAATATATCCCAAATTATTAGCAATGTTTAGAGCGGTTTCGCCGTTCTAAATAAAAGAGTTTTGAAAGCAATAAAAACCGAATGATTATTATCACTTTTTCTTCTAAATGAATACAATTTTTATTATTACCGGATCACTATGTATTTCTGAGTGAAGATATTAACAAAATAATACACAAAATATAATAATTACGTTTAATACAGGAATACCAAAAATGCAAGTCTAAAAAAAGCAACACTAAACCGTGCCTTACTATAATTCGATGTGGAACTCAATTGAGTATTTTGTTTGGAAAATACGAATGTACGTTGTATTTATTTTTAGCTGAAAACTTAAGATCTCTATCTCTCACACAATTCTTACAATGCTAATTTGCCTAAGTTATTCCAGAAATATAATTGTATTTATATACATACATATGTACATAGCCATAAAAATGTATAGCAACTGTATATGTGTTTATACATGTACATGTATATATGTATATTTCTTAGAGCTTTTAGTTTGAGGAGATATGTATTGTTATTTAAATATATATATATGAATACGTATATGTGTATATGTGTGGAAATAATCTCTAACTACTAAAAAGTATTAAACAATATAAGGCGTGGTTAGGCTAGTAGCTCATTTTGTATGCAAGACTTAGCCAACGAAATTATTTATTTATTTATTTATTTAAACGCCAATCGGCAATATACATAGATATAATAAAGAATTAAAGTATTATACAAAAGTAGCTAGGGTATATTAGTGTAATATCTGGAAATAATAATAATTTAAATAATTGTAAGTTAATATGTAATTCAGACTTGATTTAGATGTAATTCAGACGAGCAGGTGTCTCTTGGTGTTTTCGGTAAAGGCAGCGTATGTTCCTCCATAGAAATCAATTTCACCTTGAAGTGAATTTACTAAATTAGCCAGTCTATTCTGAGGACCATGGATAACATAATTTTTCTTGGATTTCGATGTTTTTAGTAATCTATTTCGCCTCAGGGTAAGACCAAAAGGGGCGAGTTCCAAACTGTTTAGGATCTCATGAGCATCAGTGATGATTGACTACTTTGTAAAGCAGAGGTCAGCGACCCCGACGAGAAGACATTATACAGTAGCACTGGTGGACCTCATCAGAGCAGATGTGACCGAAGATAGATTATAGCGATTACAGAATTTACACTGCAACTTTTCAACTTTATCGATGTCGTGTTAGTGTAGGAGACCAGATTACCGAACCATATTCCAAAATTGGTAGTACAAGTGACTTGAATAACTAATTAGTCCAGGTTTTGAAATTCTACACTCCAGTATAAATCCAAGGGCTTTAACGCCTGATGTAATTTCTCGCGTGGTGAGAAGGTGCTTATTATCAACAAATACCTAAGTCTTTTTATGTTCTCAGCCATCTCAAGCCCGTCAGTTTGTAGCTCGTGTGACGAGTGTGAGCGAGCGAAAGATACGGCCGCACATTTGTTTACGTTGAGATCCAGCTGTTCACTGACACCAGTCACTGAGGGTATTTATGTCTTGTTGCAAGATTATGATGTCTGTCCCGCAATATCGGTCTAAATATTTTGAGGCCATCAGCATACAGAAGGAAATCAAAGCAGAGTTATTACCAATGTCGTTGACGAAGATGTTAAACAGTACAGGACTAAGTGAGATCCTGCACACAAGAGATTACTCATATTCACTGGATAATGGGCCATCTACTCTGACTTGCAAGCGTCTGTCTGTGAGGTTGGCTACCAAGCTAATACACGTCCACCACACCATATTTCTTAGCTTATCTAAAAGATTTCGTAGTCAACACGGCGAAAGACTTGCTGAAGTTCGGAAAATGCTGTGCAGTTGCCGGAATCCATGGAGTTCAGCAGTTTGTCGACGTATATGAACAAATTGGTAGTGGTGGATCTGCCACCAGTAAAGCCATGTTGTTTGGTTGTTATGATGTTTTCAAATGCCTGACGTATCTGTGGAAGCACTAACCTCTCAAATAGTTTTGCAAGTGCAGACTGTATGCAGATAGGACGGTAGTTGGTAACCAAGGTCTTGGGTCCCTCTTTATGAATCGGTGAGATGTATGACAGTTTCCAGTAGGTCGGGAAGGTACCATGGTGAAGAGATTCGCCAAATATATCTGTCAAAGGCTCACATAGGCCTACCGCACAGTTTTTGATGAATATGTTAGGCAAACCATCGGGGCCTGCACCTTTGCTGGGGTCGAGAGCAAGGAATTCTTTGAGTACTGCATCGTAGGTCACTGTCAGGGCATCCAAGTGTGTGCGCTGTGTACCAGGATTGAAGGTTGCAATACCTGGGTATATTGGCTTAACAAAAGCTTGTGTGTTGAACTGGAGGCATTGCCAGTTGATTATTTTTTTTTCGTTACCCATAGTTAGTTAAAAAAAGAGTCGTTGGCACTTTGACAGATCAAAATGTAAAACAAACCAAAATTAGAGATTCTTGTAGAAGGAATTTGGGTTAAAATTAGACGATTAAAACTTTTGTTTTCAGTTTTTTGTATTCTTAACCTCAAATAAAGAAAATTAATATATTTGTACGGTACTTTAATAATTCGTTAGCAAATTTAATAATGCAAGCTAATCTTCTTTTCATGTCAGACATTTTAATACAAATTGAATATCAGCCGACTGTTCCTGCCCGCATTCCCAGTACAATTCGAAAATATAAAAAGCTAAATGCGTTTTATTTGTCAACGATTAATGCTGGAAACAGTCACCGCCGTTCCGCTCTTCCGTACTTACCGTACGTATCAAACCAATTTTGTCAAAAGTTATGCCCGTAGTTGCAACGCAGAAATCAGTTTTTCTCTTTTGTTTTCATTTAATTTTGCCATTGTTCAATTTGTATACACGATTTTTAGTTATAATTTTTCATTATGTAAAAGCTCAAAATTAAAATCCAACAATTAAAAATAGTCCACCTATTTATAAATAAATGTATTCAACATTGATTTTGAGTTATTTTAAGAATATTTCAATTATATTCAAGTTTATGTTTTAATTACTACAAAATATCGTTCACTCGTTTCTACGGAAAAATCCAATTTTCGCTACCGTACGGTCTGTAGAAGCGGACGGTAGAAGCGGTGATCAGTGTTCATTTACATTCCGCTCTCATAAAATAGGTCGTATCAGCTGATTCGGTCTACGCTTTGGCGTCGGTAACTGTTTTCAGCATTATCTATTTGCTTATGGCGGTCAAATAGCGTGTTTTATTTGACCGCCATAAGCAATTAAATATGTGCTTATACAGAGTGGCTCACGAATTGTGCTGCAAAAACAAACCGTAATAACTTTTGTTCTGTGTGAGTAATCGATTTACTTTTTGTTTTTTTATTTGGCAGGTTATTAGTTAGATTTTCTTTTTAAATGAATACTTGGAAAACCGAAGAGAGGGTTTAGATAGTGCGGCGGTACCATGCTTTGCCTAAGTTGGTAAACATGTTTGCTGAATCTGGAAGAATCGCAAGAAGTATGTTCGTGTTCAAGAAACAATTGCGACTGTTGCATCGTAAATTCAGCCAAATCCAAGAATTTTGATTCACAACTTATCGGCGCAACTTGGAGTTAGCAGACGGTCATTACAACGGATAATTCATGATGACTTAAACCTGTTTCCTATACCCTATAGATTTGCCTAATCGCAGCGTTATTTAAAGACGTTGTAGCCAGAGACTGGTTATTGCGGAGCTCCAATGAAAATTTTAAAACAAAATAATACCAAGAAACTCTACTTCCAGACTTTGTTTATGGGGTTATGTCACGCAAGAGGTGTACAAAACAGATCCCAGAAATCTGACTAAATTGAAGCAGTCTATTAAAGCGATAATTGAGGCAATCCTGACATCAACCCGTCAGCCCGCAATGAATAATTTTCTAATTTGGTGTCGCATATGCGTGGCTGAGCAGGGTCCATAATTTTTAAGAATAATGAGTTATATAAAATAAAATATTATTTATATAAGAAGTATGATAATAATGAAAATTAATTTTGTCTTCGCGAAGATTAGATGCCTGTACCTCAGGAAAATCAGCTATCGATCCCTTCTACGATACTTTTCCGAAAGTCATTCGAATACATAATTATAAGGAAATGTCTGAGTAAGACAAAGCACAAAGTAGATATACTTAGGCGCTTTTTATTATTTCGCATATTATAATGTTATTCACTTAACGGCTGTTTGTAACACCTAAAACCAATAGAGATAATTGATCGATCGAATTCATTTTCCGATATCTGTCTGTGTGTAGAAGTGATAACTGGTGTAAAAATGTACATATCGTGCGGTTACACAGATCGTCTTGATACCAGGGTTGCGAATTTTTTGACTAAAAATTTGGATTTTTGGTTAAAAAATAAAATTTTTATTTATTAATTCCGCTGTTGGGATCTAATCTAATTTTTAATCCAAGATGTTTGGATTTAAAAATTAAATTTTAATTTAATAGTAAAACAAGTAAGGAAGGGCTAAGTTCGGATGTAACCGAACATTTTATACTCTCGCAAAGTCAAATAGTATACTCGTTTGAGATTTCTTTGTGGATTGACTGATATTTTTGGTAGAAGGTCAACTATAGGCACTGGGGTCCACATATTTAGTACTTAGGGGTTTAAACAGTTTTGGTTCGATTTAGACAATTTTTGGCCACAAGGTGGCATACTTTAATCGCATTATTCACGCAAAGTTCTATCCCGATACAGTCATTGTTGCCTGATTTGCATAGTGGAAAGTGACAGAATCAGATGGAATTTAAAATGGTGTTATATGGGAAGTAGGCGTGGTTGTAGTCCGATCCGCCCATTTTCGCACTATGACATAGAAACATGAAAAGAACGTTATGCACTGAATTTGGTTGAAATCGGTTAAGCAGATCTCAAGATATGGGTTTTCACCTAAAAGGGGCTGTGCCACGCCCACTGTCTAATTTTGAACGCGGTTCCTATAAAGTCATCTCATACCATCCCAGAGATAAAATTTAATGTCTCTGGCGTGTTTAGTGCTTGATTTATCGCGCTTT